GAAAAGTGGCTGTCCGAATTCTTCACAAATAAGGAGGGGGGCTTCTACGAGGAAGGTATTATGAAGTTCCCGTCTAGATGGAAACAGAATATCGAACAAAACGGCGCATATTTTAACTAAATCCGATACTGTAACACCTTTTATAAAGCATTGAATGAAGAGCAAAAAAGCGGAAGGAGGATATTTGACAACCTTATATTACCAATTTTTTTTTGCTTTTTCTGGCCAACGTACCGAACTTTTCTTAATACCCCCGTATGTATGTGTTGGTATTCGTATGGAAAGACATTAAGAAGACGTCAGCACTTTTAATTCAAGGCAAAAATGCAAATACTGATAAAAAAAATGGAAAAATGGAAAACAAGCAAACGCGGCTGGAACCAAATTTTGACTGTTAGCGATTATGTGTAAACCGCAAAAATCTAAAAAATATTTTATTTAATAGAAAAATGCCGAAACTTACATACGTACATATGAAGTCAAGATTTTATTGTCACATTTCCGTGCAGTTCGAGCATTTGAGCAAAGAGGACTCGTTCATTGCTGAGCACGAGCTCTTTTCGTAGAACTTTAAACAAAAGTTTTGAATTTTTTCTAAGAATTCTATAATTTTCAATTTATTAAAACAAGTAGAAAATTGCTCAGCAGTTCGAAAATTTCAAAAACAAAAACCTTGAGATGTTGAGTAACGAACGAGTTTTGAGTTGTTCGCACCGCCTTATATTTTTTTCTAGGGCTCCAAGAGGAACATGTTTATGTAGGACTACATACATACACGTATGCATGTGAGTAGTTTTACATATTTTTATTTTGGTTACTTTAAACAGTTACAAACACGAGCTAACAGAACAAAATTATTTTATACCAAGTGCAAACGATAGCGTCACGTATAAAAATACATACTTACATACATACATATAGAGGCGAAGATATGCTGAGTTTTGGAAACGGAGAGTACAAGTTCATTGAACATAAAGAAATTCATCAAATGCAAAAACGTCACCTTAAAAGCGCTGAGAGAACTTTGCAAGTGGAATTTCCAATAAGAGTTGTCATTTTGAATAGCCCACAATTCCGGTAGATGTCACCTTTTCAGCTGTAATTTTGTGACATTTGACAAGTAAAAACTACGCCAGTAATAAAAAGGAAACCATACACGGTTCAACAACGCACTGAAATTATTAAAACTCACTATGAAAATAGTGAAAGCCTGGCAGAGACGGTTCGTAAAACTAAAACATTTTTCGATCCTGGAGAAGCACCTTGTCTGACCGCAGTACAGATTTTAGTGGAAAAATGGAGCAGTTTGGACAAGTTAGTGATGTGAAGAATAAAACAAGTGCATGTCGCTCAAGAAGAACCGAGAATATTTCTGCTGTAGCCCGAAGTAGTAAAGAAACGTCAAATTTGTCCATTCCTCGTCGTTCTTTGGAATCCACAAACGTCAGACTTGAGTCTTAAAGCTTAAAAGCTCGTTAACAAGGTCGTGTCAACCGTTCATTTAACTCAAACAATGCCATTTTTCTAAGAATATCAAAATAACCCCTCTTAGTGGAAAACCCTGTACTTGTATGTACATATTCGGGCGCTATAGCCGAGTGGTTGGTAGTGCGTATTGCCTGGCCAGAGCTCTAGTCAATCCACAGGAACGGTGGACGTGGAATCGATCTATTCAAAAAAAAAAAAAAAAAAAAAAAAAAAAAAAAAAAAAAAAAAAAATCGAACTTAAAGTCGAATTAAATAAAAAATTCCGCAAAGTGGATCAGATAAAGATTTTATTGAGGCACAAACGCTTCTTTCAGGAAGTGGACTTGACACCGATCAATCCCAAAAAATCTTATTTATTGTACGATTTAGGTCACTTTTTTCCTGAACTAAAATGCGGACCAGTTCTTCTTTCAAACAAGGAACCCAGAACCGATCTACTAAAGGAGTTCATACTACGATTTTCTTGAAATCAGATACCGGTCATATTAAGAGAAATATTGTTGTTGTTGTAGTAGCGGATAAGTGAAATATTCTTAAGAGAAATATTGTCATGGTTCGTTGAATGTTTGAGCGACAAGGACGAGCCGCAAATAGACGAGGAAGAGTCCGATTTGCTTGAATTTAGTACTTTCTTTCCGGGAAGGTGATCCCAATTGTACAGGTCGGCGAAAAAGATATGATTTGGACAAAAATATATATAGTTAGTTCGTAGATCGCTGCATCATGTCAGTATATTTTCGTGCTTTAGTTTTGTCGCACACTCTCTATGTATGTACGTATAAGTGTGTGTATGTTTTAAAATAATTTTTCGATACTGTTTCATATTGTATTTTTTTTTTACTTCTTTATTGATAAGATGAATGAATGCTTGATTATAGACACAACAACAACAACATACAAAGTAATAAATTTGATGATCATGACCCTGTAGAAACAACCTTAACGTAGAATTTTTTTTTTTCAATAATTTTGAATTTTTCAAATAAATTATATCTAGCCGTGTCAACGTTGACAACAACCTTAATAATTAAAAAAAAAATAAAAGAGTTTTTTTTGCAATGTAATTGCCTCCAGTCGGGGACGAAGTGCAGAAATGACCTGGCATAAATACTATCAGAGACAATTAAGCCATTTATTACAGCAATTCACATGCATACGTATATACATATGTATGTATAAACAGAAGTATGCATGCATGCATGCTTACATGAAGCAAAATTCATATTTTATCTATGTATGTATGTAAGTAGGTATCTGTATTATTGAAATGTATTCAGGTTAAAGCTTAGCGTAAATTGCGGTTTTATGATGTCAACGTTCTGGCAAAATATATGAACACTTAAAATATGTATGCATGTATAGGTATATGAGTGTATGGGGTTATCCATTTCGTGGTTACAAAAATACAGTGTTGTTTTTTGGCATCTTTTAAACTTAAAAGCCAGACAAAACATGTTTTGTTTTCATTACAAGTCTTGCATTTAAGAAAATGGAAAATTTAACAAGCACATAACGCGTTGAATTTGTTAAAAACGTCAACGAAAATATTAAACCAAACATGTTTTGTTTTAATTAAGTCTTGCAGTTATGAAAAGGGAACGTTTAACGATCACACAACGCGATAAATTTGTTAAAGCCTTCCACAAAAGTAGTAAACCAAACAAGTTTTGTTTTCATTACAAGTCTTGCATTTAAGAAAGTGGAAACTTTAACAAGCACACAACGCATTAAATTTGCTAAAACCTTCCACGAAATGGTAAACCAAACATGTTTTGTTTTTATTAAAAGTCTTGTATTCAAGAAAATGGAAAATTTAACAAGCACACAACGCGTTAAATTTGTTAAAACCTTCCACAAAAATGGTAAACCAAACATGTTTTGTTTTCATTAAAAGTCTTGTATTCAAGAAAATGGAAAATACAACAAGCACACAACGAGTTGAATTTGTGAAAACCTTCAAACAAAAATTGTGATTCAAAGGAGGCTATGATTAAGGGGAGGTTATGGTTGACATAATCGTCCAGCTACTCAAACTAATGGTAAAATTTTGAAGAGGCTGGATCGGTTAGAGAGATATATCAAGTGTTGGCTTGTTCTTCTTAAATATAACGAAATTATAGCAGAAGCCCCGAATTTGAATTTGACGCTCTCGAAAGCTGGGCTACTTCTTACGGCACCTTATGACGTATTTTGCACTTTCATCTATATAAAGTCCAGCTTACACAGCAACTAAAGCCAGCTGAGCATTCACAGCGCCGTTTATAGTAGGATTTTTCACTTGGAGGGTACGTAAGTAAGCAAAACTGTCGCATTTGGTGCTGTGAGAATACTCAAATAATTCAACAGAAGCTATTACACAAAAAACAAAAGAGCCCTTGGTTCGGAAGTGTGATTGTACCTTACTCCTTTGAAAATGACAACGCCGATACCGTCACTGTCAACTCGGAGATAACGGTTTTTTTTATAAAAAACAAGAAGACGACTTGGACAATATGTGTATTCAACAAGGTTGTGCCACATGCCACACAATACGAGCGAATATGGCTTTATTGCATGAGAAATTTCTTTGCGATATCGATTGGCCACCATTATCGTGCGATTTGACATGCTTGGACCTATCTTTGTGGGGTTACGTGAAAGGCCGTGTTTATTCGGATAAACCTTTGACTCTTGAATACTTGACAACCAACATTCGTCAAGTTACGTCCGAGACATTGTGCGAAATGTGTCAAAAAGTCATAGCAAAATTACTTAAAAAAAAATAAGTTGCGAGTTGCTCATTTGACTAGTTTTAAACTTTATAATAAAAAAAGGATTTGAATGAAAAAAGAAAATATTTGAAATATATTTTATTTACGTTTTTTTGAAACTGCAAAATGAATAACCCTTTAAAATACAACCACTGTAATTTTTTCGAGTAATAAATATGTAAATTTATTTTTATAACTGAAAGCATTTAATGAGGATTTTTTGTTGTTCAGTGCGCAATGCAGTTTAATTACACCTGTGTGATCTGCATTCGTAATCAGCTTTAAGAATGAAAAGAAAACGGGGGGGAAAAAGAAAAACCATATACGACTGTGAGCAAGTTGAGTGCCGGCATGTTTTCTCTTGAATACATAATCCATTTAAATATTTAAGCAATTATACATTTAGTACATACATACATATGTATGTATATAATGATTAGCATAATTGAATAAATGAACGCACACAAAAGAAAAAAATATCAATATTACAAGAAAAGACTTAAATAATACTAGTGTCATATCTTCGCTTTTTAATTTCATCGCTTCTGTTTGCTTGTCCGTAACACACATAAACTCGTACACATTTATACGTGTTTACAACAAAATTCTACGTTTCATTAGCATTTTGTTAATTTCTTAAAAAACCACACTTTACAACGTAATCTTTCACACTTACATTTTTTGGAAAAAAAACGACCCCGGCTATGTCTTATAGGTTAAGCAAAAAAAAAAAATACAAATCGCTCCGTTTAGCTTACATACCTTGATAGCTTTTTGTTGTTTTGGACAGCAATTTGTCCAATTCCAATGAACAATGAGCTTCCACCATATGCCTTGTTTCGATGTACTCTTCTTCACTTATCTCTTATCGCTGTGGCAAAGTAGCCTAATTTATAACTTCAAGAAACGTCGATATGTACGATAGAACTTTTAATATGTATGGATTTTTGTACTTTTCCAATAATTGCCTTTTTTATTTATTGCTTTTATTTACTTTCACAATGCCACTTTCTCGAATTCACATATGCCCATACATGTTGTATGTTGTTGCTTAATCACTTTTTTCACTTTTTCACTGTGCAAAATGTTCAGGACTAAAATTATTTACTCCAGGTACCATTGATTTCATAACCACAGAAATATTTTTGCTTTCAAGAAAATATGTTAAATTTTTATGTACTTTCAATTAAAATGCAGACTGAAACAAATGCGGTGAAATTTGAGAAATTAATTAACAGAGGAACGTAAACAAGAACAAAAACATCTATTCAATTTCACTGGCAAGAAAATACTGAAAAACAAAAACAAATTTTTGTACCATCAAAAAGTCGCGCTGCCGTACTGTTTTAACGTCGCATTTCATGGAACAGTGTTGCCTACCCCATAGATGGAAAGTGATGTGAGCGGACTAAATTTTAGGAAAATAATTATCACTTAAAATAAGCATTTTACTTGACCTTTAAAACGAAAAAATACATATAACTTAATTTAATAAACTATTTTACTTGTATTAAGCCACGGAAAGTGGGCCAAACACTTACTTTTAAACATATTTCTCGTTTAGTGTTCAATTAGTAGTGATTAAAAATATTTTTTAACTCTTTCCAACACTGAACTCTCGTAAACATATGCAAAACAAAGCTAGAAAGACAGCTGTTCCAAAAAGTACAAGCACAATTTGTTTATATTGCTCTAGGACTTGATTCATGCATCCAAACAGAAAAATTAGTATTGTGAAAATAATACCTTCCACGACATGTAATAAACTTCCAAAAGTGTATTTAAAATACGCACTTGACTTTATTCTAATAGTTTAAATACTACGAATGCAATAAAAAGTTTGTTAAATAAATTTCACACAAATTAAATTATCGTACAAAAGCTGGCGGCAGTGTAGCAAATGTCAGATATCCCGTGTGACCGGGTAGTGTGGAAGGTGCTGAAGATGTTAGCACCTTTTTGGTTTCCTTAGGAGTTTTTGCAGATTCCAGTTTTGCATTAGTTTCTTCAGTATGATTTTCATCCTTATTTTCCGTAGAAGGTTTCTGAAAGAAAAGTATAACGTTTATAATTATGTATAATACTAAACAAATGAACATTACCTTATGCTTAAGAAATTCCAAATCGAGCACAGGCATTGTACGAGTTTTCACAATATGCTCTTGCTGCAATATTTCCATTGAACGAATCTCTGTGAAGCCATGTTCTTGTAAAGCAATACAACAACGTTGCGATTGCTCAATACAAGGTGAAAATGAACAAAAGCGTCCACCTATAGATATTTTTATATATATTATTTAAAAATTAATTTTTTCTAACCATTGCACTTCAATACACCTTCTAACTTTAGCGTTTTAGTTGCAAAAGGCACAGCTATTTGTGGTGCTGGTAAGTCCAAAAACACCGCATCAGCTTTTCCATCCAACTCGTCTCCGAAACCCAACTGGCAAACATCACGATGATAAACACTAACAAAGTCGCCTAAGCCATGTCGTTGAAATTCTTCACGCGCTTGTTGTGCGCGCGCCTCATGGAAGTCAAATGTGTGTAAGTGGCCACTTGGTTTAATAGCGCGCAAAAAATAATGCGACAACGATCCTGAACCAGTACCCGATTCAATTATTACCGAGCCAGGTCGTACCTCCAGTTGAAAAAGTATCATACTAATATCTGGTGTATAAATGATTTGTGTGCGATGTGGTAATGTTTGTGTCCATAGTTCTGGATTTGGTTGAAGTACGTAGGCCCAACCTTTTGACAGCTCCACACGACTGCCATAACTGACACCAATTATATTTCGCACTTTTAATGCGCCATAAGATGTTTGGAATATCTGTAATAGCAATATATTAAATAAAATTTAAGATCGCACACTATATTTGCTTTTTTCAGCTGTTTTCACTTACATTTTCAATGGTCTCCCCCTTTTTGTTAACTATCGTTGGTGTTGCTTCGATGGCGTGCATGGAATTTACAGTGAGATAAAGTATCACTGTATCACCTTCTTCTATCACATCTTTTGGCTTTAGAAAACTCATCCTAGATTATTTACTCTGTGGTCAAACACTTGTTTTAAAATATTATAATTAAAAAACAACACGCCGGCACAAATTTATAAACAAACTTCTGACATTTCTATTCACGTGTAAAGAGTTACAGGGTCATACATATGCTTTAAATTTATAAAAGGTTTAAATTAAATATTTAAATTTTTGATCTGAAGAGCAAATAAATTTAGTAAAAATTCAAGATACGCACAAAAAAACCTTCATAATAATAATAAATTCTTCCAAGGAATGCTGAGGCCAAAAAATCTCGATCAAGATATAGTAGAAATTCTTACCAAAGCTTTCAAACTGTATCCGTTCACTCTGACACTAACAATACTCGACATCTGGAAACACGGTAAAGAAGTTCGGCCTCTGAAGTGCTCAAGGACGACACTTGAGGCATTGTTTACACCCGTATTTCAGTTTTTCATCCACCACCTGATACTCGGATAACGCATGGTTTTAACCAAAATCGAACCTCCGTACAGTACTTGTAAAATGCCAGACACAGTCAATCATAAAGTGATATACTGAAGACTCCTCTTTTATGCCGGGGTTGATGAGGCAGAGCAAGAGTTACTTGAGTGGTCGGTCGAGTTTCGAGCTCATAAACTCATAAAAATTAAACAAATAGGATCACAAGATGGTGCTCTCTTCCGATTTTGTTTATTTTCTAAATTTCGTAGCTCCTTCCAACGCCAGAGGACTTTTCTTTGATTGTAAATACGGATGATCGTCTGTTCAAGACGTGGGGTTAGGATATTGAAAAATTATGTTCAAATAAGTAAAAAGCTTCCACACTTCCCGCTTTTTCACGAGATTCACAAGGAACACGAGGAGCACAAGGAGCGCCAGCTCGATCTAAATATAAAAGTCAATAACATCAAAATTCCGACTGTTAACAACTCCAAGCTACTGGGAAACACATATGACTACGATTGTCAAATACTAAATTGTGGCAGTTTAGCCGGGAGCCAAGGAAGAATCGTTCTCCATGAAGCTGAGCTACTCTCAAACAAATTAGGAAGGGAATACTTGACTCTATACAGCCGCTGAACAGTACCTATTTTAATGCTCTTCCACATTCAATTGTAGATCAAACTCACCGACAGCAGTGACATGGATACACCCTTCTCGTAACTTTTTGATGAAAGCAATGATTCTTCCAGCCAGTATAGGCTTATTGGCGCCAAATTCGGTGCATTGAGCTCTGCAAGAGAAAACATACACCATGAATCGACTCTACACTCAAAACTGGTAATCACAATAAGAACCCGAAAGTAAATTGTTTGCCCGTTTGTCAGTCGATTAAGCAACGGGATAAAAATCTTGAAATGCCGACCATAACCACAATTGCCAATGATGCCGAGACCACAATCACAATCACAGCCGCAACCTTAAGTATTCGCAATTGTGCAACTTGTAGTAAGTAGAAAAATCTCTCTTGACATGCAAGAGATTTGTGTTGAAAGTGTGACGCAGCTTGACCGTCCGTCATTCATTCAGTTTGTTGGTGCACCGATGTCGGCGATGATGCGCGCCGATGTTGAGAGCTGAAGCATTCTGACTAACTACTAAACAAGTTGAAGGACTTGTCTGCCGCCTGCAGAATGGGCGGCCTATTCGATGGTTCAGTGTTGAATGAATTGACTGTTGGATGGTTTGACAAAGCAGCTGCCGAGTTGACTGCCTGACTGCCTGACTGACTGACGTCCAGATTGACTGTTGACTGTTGAATGTTGCTGCGGCTGTCGCTTTTTTAATTTAACCTTATTTAAGTATTTTTTCTTTAATTTAATTTTTTCTAGCAAATGATCTCTCTAAGGCAGGAGCAGAGGGAGCGGGATAGAGGAAATTGCAGTTTGTAAAATATAAGACAACAAGTAGTATGTGGCCAGAGCAAATTCTGTAGTTGGTTAGTTAAAGAGGTTTGCTCCATCAGGGAACTCTGATCAAGCGCGAATAGTCCTACTGTTAAGGAGATCTCTTTACTCTTTCAGAAGTTCAAACCAAGGCGTCTTATGAGATTATTAACGCCTACATATGCAAGCTCTGACAGAGGTAATGCTCCTCCAATTCCTTCTCATCTATATTACAGCAACTGCGGCCTAAGTCGTTAGAGAAACTGCCTATCTTTCTACCACAAGTCCCGATAAGGCAGTGTCCGATTATTATGCCGGTTGCTAGGCTCATGGTGGTCGAGTTTAGAAGGAGTAAAAACTTAGTTCTCTACTTTTCGAACCAATGTTCAGATTTGTCTGGTCACATTGCAAGTGGTTACACTCTGTCATCTGTTATTGGCCTTTCTAGAGAAGACTAGCCGTAATCGATACTTACCGTAGGAGAGAGGTATCGCCTGGGCCTTACTGTTGTAAGGTGTGTTCTTTCTAGTTAGCTCGTCGGCCTCGCAGTTAGTTCCGCTTGAATAACGCTGCAGTGGTCGGAAAATCATTACTCATTTCAATAGCAAGAGTTTCAGAGCAAACTCGAAAGCGCACTTTGCTTTGAAGTTTTGAACAGTTAGATCTACTAAATTTACCCACTCATTCCTCTCCGATATGTTTGTTCAGAAACTGTCGTCAAACTGTGGAAACAAGATTAAGAAGAATTTCAATAGCTTTCGTAGGAGTTGAAGGCAGTCCTCTTGTAATAAGGTTGGAACTTTTTCCAACGTCCTCCTGTAAGTAGCATTTTCTAGTATTGGCTACTAGACTGGGACTCCATAGAATAATATGGGTCTTATTACCGCTTTGTATTGGCAGTATACAACAAGTTGTCTCAGTTCTCATCTTTTACCTTGACTTGCTGGCGAAGAGTGCGGCCAAAGCTTTACTACTCCTATCTACAGCGTTTCGGTTCCAGGTAACTGAGATAATGACTACCTATTTAACCACAATAAAAAAGAGTGATCTCGTTACCTTTGAGTAAGGACCGTTTAAGGGCAGAGAGCTTGTATTTTCTGATGAAGAGGATCAATTCGGTCTTTGAAGGATTTACATCCAGACCGCACTTACTGCACTTGTTAATGACTGTGTGAAGGCCATCTTAGAGCATATCGCCTAGTACCTGTTGATGTTTTCCAATCGATGCGAGGGTAATGACGTCAGCGTATACCATTACATCACACTTCGTGTTTTTAGCTACTTCAGAGCCAGCCATATGCATCTACATATGGATTATATTCGTTTTGACAGTTCCACAAGTTCATTACCGCAGATACTTCGCTAAATATGTCACACATACATATATTTAGCCAAGACTTAAACCCATAGTAGGCAACAGCACGTGCACATAAGATGCTCAGTTCTTGATTCTTATCAACCAGAGCTCATTTTCTCGACATATGAGCACTCTACTTTTGTTTTTCTTGCTTCTTGAGATTAAAGCCTTTAAAAGAGAGCGATTTTTGTGTTCGAGCACACAGGTCACTGCCGTATTGCATTTGTTCGAAAGCCTGTTCAAAGTACTCTAAATCAACTCCCTTCTGGCTAAACGAGCTAGCCTAAGGGAAGAAAGTTGAGAAAAGTTTCAAGGACTTTTGGCTTAGTCGGTGGTCTGTAGGTAGACAGCTTAATTCTACCTAAGTGGCTGCCGAAAGTGTTTTCATCGAGTTTCGGCGATCAGGCGGTGATACCTTATAATATGATGGATCTAAAATGCCGTATGCTTTTTTTAACCTCTCTTCTCTTTCCTAGCGGCAGCGGTAGCTGAGTGGTAAGCAGTGTGTGCCACCATGCGGAAAGTAAAAGGACAAAATATAACCATTTCTGAAGCGAATTATCATGGGCGATGAAAAATTTACTTCAAGCGTCAATTGCTGAATGTATGGTGCGATTGAAAGAGAATTGTCTACTTTGAGCTGCTAAAAATGGTACATTTTGAGCTTAGCTGTCAAGAACCTGCTGTAAGAAGTATCTGAAACTGGTAAATAGAGAAGGGTATGTGATTCATCATGAGAACGCCAAACCACATACAAATATCTTTGAAGACCATTTTAGGGAGCTTGGGTGAGACCTTTTCTGCGCCCAACATGTAGCTCGGATATTGCACCATCTGACTACCAGTTGCATAGGTGTCTCTAAAACTGGGTTTCTTGATGGTAAAAATTGTCTAACCGAAGAGCCGCTGCAAATCATTTGGCTGCTACATTCTTCGCCGATAAGCTACAGAAGAGCTAAACATTGCTCAAAAAACAGTTTGTAAAAAGGCTGGTTATATAAAGAAGCTCATGGATCGAATGCGAATCGCTGCTGAATCGTAAGAAAATAGACCTGTTTCCGAATTGGACGGTGACTGGTGACGAAATGTGGATCACTTACAGCAACGTCCAACGAAAACGGTTGTGGTCGAAGTGCATTGAGCCGGCACAAACGGTCTACAAGCCTGGATTTGCGGCAAGGAAAGATTTGTTGCAAGGAATCATCCCCTATGAGCTGCTCCCCTACGGCCAAATTCTTAACTTGAACCTGTGATGTCAGACTTTGGATCGTCTGAAGGAAGCAATCGCCCAGTAGCTCCCAGTTTTAGTTAACTGTAGGGGAATTGTGTTTTATGAGCACAATGCTCGGTCGCACACTTTGATAGTGGCTGGCCAGAAGCTCCGAGAGCTTGATTGTGAGGTTCTTTTGGACTCAAATTCGCAGTCCAGACCTCGCACCAAGTGATTGCTACCTGTTTCTGCCTATGCTGAATGATTTGGCAGGTGAAGGATTGGCTAGTTTCGCGTACTAACACTCGGATGTCCAACCGCAACTTGGAGAAGGAGAGATTGTAGAAGGAGTTCGGTCGAAAATCGTTTCACCGGCTATCTTCTCCATAACTATCCATCAATTGGATGGCTTGCCATAAAGTAATTCCGAAATCGACTCCCTTTTCCAGAACTTAACCTCTATTTCAGCTAACCCAGATACCAATCAATACGGAGTTGCGTGTATTTAACGTGCGAAAACTTTCCAGCGCTGAGAAATTGATAGGACACACTCACTCGTACATAGACAAAATAAGCGTGTCACATAATTTTTAATTGTCGTTCGCCTGCCTTGCTCACAGCGCAGCTGTCACAACCATTTAGCGAACGCACACAGCGACTCA